AAACATATAAATATATATTTTGTAATGAGTGCGCGTATATGTATGCGTGTATGTATGTGTTCTTGAGTCAAATACTGACCTCCAAAATAAACATTTAGACATTTTAACTCGCAATTCGAAGATGATACGACAAGGGGAAAATGTCTGAGTTGGAGGGACTATTTTTGTGACCTACTAACGATGGTGTGGGTCTTATTACAAGCAAAGTCGAACAGACCTAAAAACATCATCAAAGTCCACTGATAATGTTACATATTTAGAATAATCATTTGTCAATCGTGTTAATAAGCTTCGAACACGTGACTCGACAAAACGGATAGTTTTTTCAACAAAAATTGTTTTGAAAAATTAACAGTTGGAATATTATAACATGTATTACAAAATTATAATCAACTCTACGGTGATTGGCCGGAATGTAATGGTACGAGTCCGGTAACTTGATGTCATCAAAAATAGTTTTCTGGCTTGGTTACTTACAAATTTACAGGATATCTCAAATGGATATTCAAATTTTAATTTTTGTTAAGGTAATTTTTTTTAAAATGTATAATATAAACCCAAAGTGAATGTAAAACAAGAGGTACACTTATGGAGTTATTCTGATGTCTACCATTTTTCTATTCTCGAAAAAACGTGGTACCAAATTAATGTATGCTTTTATCCCTAATACTTTGAGATCCTGTCGTGTGAAATTCGCTTATCCATGTTTCTGTGGGTATTGTTATTATCTTTATTAATTTTATTTATTTATTTATTCTTTTTAAGTATTTAATTTATTTTTTACTTCTTTCTTTTGTCTTTTTGGGGGGTTTAGAAACAGTTTTAGTTATTGAGAGGGAAGATCAGATTTGTTCTTTTATTTTTTTCTGTTACTGATGAAAGAGTAGGTATATCGTCTGCAGCCGTAGTTAAAAGTTTATACGTCGGATGTCGGTTTTTTTATGTTGCTGTTAACGGTGTTGTCGCTGCTGCAGCCGTGGTGGTGCTGTTGCTACAAGAGCTGTTGTTGATGCTGTTGGTAATGTCGTCGTTGTTATTGTGGATTGGTTGTTGTTGTTGTTGTAGCTGAAGTAGATGATTTCACAGTCACTGCTATATTAATAGGAAAGCATAAATAAATGGTGTAGAACTTAATATTGGATTCTGTCGGTTTTTAAAATTATTTTTAATTTGCTTGAGGGTTTGTTTTTTCTCTTCTTCACTATTGTATCGCGTTCAGTTTTATTGGAATGCATCTTCTTGACTTTCATTATGTTGGGGG